GTACTAACCTGTGAAGATGGCGCTGTGCTGCAGGTACCTCGACGACGAGCGGGAGCTATGGCGCTGCAGGTAAGTCTCCTTGGCCTCCGCCCAATCTCTCTCTCTCTCCACTGTTACTCTAGCTCCTAATATAGCGCCCAACGTTGAAGACTACTGCTAACGCTACTACTACTACTGCAGCGCTCCTCCAGAGTGCTGCTGTCGAATCCTGAAGACTACCTCCTGCCTCCTGAACTGCACGTGAAGTGCCTGGGAAGTCCCTATGAACTACCTGCAGCCTGCAGGGCGGGCCAGTCTTATATAGTGCTGGCCCGTCCAGGAGGCTGCTCTTGCCAATGCCAAAACATGCCACACCCTGGCGTTGCAGCTCAAACAAAGGTTGTCTTGAAAACAGCCCCAAAATGGCCTGTGCTAATACCTTGGTCTGGTGCCTAAGTTTCAGGGCAAGTCGATCGTATGAGGGCCTGAAAATGGCCGTCCGTTTCAGGCTGAAAAGACTAAGGGCCTGGAGGGCCCTGTTTTAGGCTGAAACGACACAAGGCCTGTAGGCCCTTGTTTTCAGGTTGTCAGGCTGAAACGACACAGGGCCTTTAGGCCCTTGTTTTCAGGCTTTGGGGCTGAAATGACACAGGGCCTGAAAATGGCCTTCGTTTGCAGGCGCAGCATGTAACACCCCCCCCCTCCTTATGAAGTCAAGCCTCGTCGAGGGCGAAGCTGACGATCTGAAGGTGGAACCTGTACTTGGGTGCGACGTGGAGCCGAAGATACCGGCTTGCCTTGCATCTTGCGTTCGTAGCGTACGAGAACATCTGGAGCTGTTGCTTTGAGTTCCTCACGAGTCAACCAACGGTCAACTTTGTGGGTGCAGTACGCAAAGTGTACCAAGTATTCGGTCGGCCTGTTGCCGTAGCGTCACTGGGAGATGATGTTGCCGACCTCTTGAAAACCGTCCATAGAGGGTGGGTCTTGCGATCATCGAGCATCCCTTGATAAAACGTTGGTAGTAGCCGGCAAGGCCAAGGAACGAACGGACATCCGTGACGTTCCGCGGCTCTGGCCACTCTTGGATGGCTTGAATCTTGTCCGACAACGGACTGATGCCCTCCAGTGTGACAAAATGGCCCAACTATTCCAGCTCTTGCCGGACAAATTCACACTTGTCGCGGTTGGCTTTGTGCTTGGCGTGGCGGAGCGTCTCCAACACTCGTCGAAGGTGCTCAAGATGATCCTCCAATGTTCGGCTATAGACGAGAATGTCGTCTAAGTAGACTAGCACGAACCGGTCCAACATCGCACGGAACTCGTTGGTCATTGCCGCTTGAAAGGTCGCCGGGGCGTTGGTGAGGCCAAAAGGCATGACCACCCACTCAAAATGCCCGTACCGTGTCTTGAACGCGGATCTGTAGCGATCGTTCGGCCTGATCGAAATCTGATGATATTCCAATCGCTCAAGAAGATCGTCGATACAAGGAAGAGGCCCCACATTCTTGACGCTTGCAGTAGTCGATCCACAATTGTCGATCCTTGTTCTTCTTCCGCACGAAGAGAACTGGTGCTCCATATGGGGAGCTACTAGGGCGGATCCAGCCCCTGTCCAACAAGTCTTTGAGTTGCGCGCGGAGGACCGGAAGCTCCTCCTCGCGCATGCAATAAATGCAACCTTTCGGTGGCACGACACCGGCCTCAAGAATGATCTCGTGAGAGACCGACCGATCCGGCACCACACCGGTAGGTGACTCGAAGATGTCGGCGAACTCATCAAGCAACCGCACCACACGGGGGTCCGAAGACAAGTCCGTGGGTGAAGAGTTAGCTACTGCGACGGTCCGTAGGAAACATAGGCCTATCTCGTCGGGCTGCTCGTAAGCGCAAGTAGCCCGGAATGACTTGGCCATCACCACCTGGCACCGAATCGAAGGGTGCGGAAGAGGAATAGTACACGGCATTTCGGCGCCGAAGGCGTCCCGAACGGTAAGAGTCCGCCGGTGGAAGTTGACCGTGTGATCCGCACTTGCAAGCCAAGGCATTCCCAAAATAATGTCGAAGTCCGTGTTCAAAATGTCGAACGCCACCGGTTCGCATGCATGAGGTGTGCAATACACCGGTACGACCTCGATGTAGCGGTCGAGAAGTTGCTGCGTCCTTCCGTCCGCCAACTTGATCGTCATCGGGTTTGCCTTCCTCCGAACTTGTGCGCCAAGGCCATCCCTTTGCATAAAGGCTTGGCTCATGAAATTGCGAGACACGCCGCCATCCAGCAAAGCGCTGCAGGACACTTGCCCAACTTGGATGCGGACATAGAGGAGCGGTGCGTTGTTGTCATCGTACCGCTGATTGCGAAACTCGCAGGCCACCCTGGTAACATACGCAAGGATGTCCCCCACCGCAGCTTCGTCCTCCTTCGGCGAAGTTGGTGGTGCATAGAAGGATAAATACGTGTGAATATGAGTGCATAATGCTGCGCATTGCGGTCCCGGCAAACGGCCCATGATCGGGAGAGGAAGCCATGCGAAATCCTCGGACGTGAGCGAGTCCAATACCTCTATGTTGAACTCACGTGCCGAATCCCGTGAAGAACCACTTGAAGACGATAAGTTGCCGCTGCCGGACAGGGAAGATGCCGCACTCACGTGTTGTCCTTGAGCATGAGTACCCAACATAGGAATGAGCCGGGCAGCATAGTCCTCATAAGAATATAGAAGAAAAGGACTATCGACTTCCTCATATGCCTTGGAACGAAGGGTGGTCACCCGCGACGCGACCGGTTCCGAAGACGTCGAGAGTGTCGTCGATTCACTCCCGGCAGTGCTCAGTTTCCCGGCCTTTGCCTTTCGACGAGAAGCCCACTGTGTCGTGGAGATCGTTGTTACACCACAGACAATAGTGGAATCTCGTGCGTTGCTTGTAGGCTTGCTCCGAGAGGCCGTAGTGGGTCCATGGGGCTGGAGCTGCTGCGCCGGGCCCAGGGATAGATGTGGTGTTTGTCTTCGTCTTGCCGCGTCCTCGGCCTTTGTCGGGGCGGCCACCATCCCGGGCGGCTGCGAGTCTGTCACTTGCATTGGCAGACACGGCCTCGCTAGAAGGGTCGGTTGGCGTTGCCGCCGCGACCACGACCACTTTCGGTCGATGCTGATCTCTGCTCGGGCCTGTCGCAGACGAACGGTTGAGGTTCTTGGCCTCCTTGTTCGTGACAATGATTTGCGCGGCCTTGTCAAAAAGCATCACCGTTGTCGTCAGGGTGTCCTCGACGTGGGTCAAGGCGTTGCCTAACGTCGGACACGACCTCGTGATGAAGTAGTGTTTGATGGCCTGGAAGCCCATCTGAATGTCTGGGACGGATGTCAAGCGTTGGTACTCGGCAATCCAGTCAACACTCGGTAGCGTGCCTTGTTCGAAGGTCAGCAATTTGTCCATTGCCTTGATCTCTGGCGGCTCTACTTGGAACCGCTTATGCCACACCGCCTTTAGATCATCCCATCTGATCTTGGTGTACAAGTCGGCAGCTACCAACCCTTACTTGGACAAGAGATTGTCCAACCATGCTTGGTACGCGCCCCCCGACCGGGAGTATAAGTACGCTTGATGCTTGTCCTTGATGACGTGGTGTAGCTGCAACTTGAGCTCGAACTTGCGAAACCACGGAATCGGGTCCGTCTTCGTCGAATCGCAAAATATCTTCTGACCATCAAACTTTGGAGTCGTCTCGCGCGGTGCCGAACTCGGGTTGGCGGCGGCAGCACAGATTCGTTGCTCCAGTTGTTGTGTGGTGGTTTGCTGTAGCTGCGCGTCGTCCTTGAGGGTTCCGACGTCGATCTCCAATGCATTGAGGCGATCGGAGGTGTTGGAGGAGCTGGCATCACGGGTCATTGCTCCAGCTGCTGGAGGCGGCTGTTGACTTGGTCAAATGCCTGATTGTGCGTCTGAACCGGGTCGTCGAGGCTGTGGATGTCCTCCTGCTGTGCAATGCACGTTGCCAGGAAATCCGTGAAATGGGAGAGGAGTAGAGTGATCTTGCTCTCTTCCATCTTACCATTCTCGGCCTCGGCTCGCCAGTCCGCTGCCATTGTGAGCAAAGCTCGCTCTCCGTTGAATATCTTGTCGCTTCGTTGATTTCGTTCTTCATCAGCAGCCTTTGCTGCTGCCTCGTCTTGCTGGCGCTGCTGTTCGATTGCCAACAGACGTGCCTTCTCGGCATCCTCTGCCTTCTTCTTTTTTGCGGCTGCTACCTCATCCGCCCGTCTCTTGGCTTCGGTAATCAAAGCCAGCATCCGGGCCTGAAGGGCCTCGACCGTTTCCCCGGACTTCTGATCCATGTCGGCTGTTTGTAAGCACGTGAGCATAGACCAGGCCGTAGGACTGCTGACGTGGCACTGTTCGGCTGCTGACATGGCGTGGCTGACATGGCGTGGCTGTCGGCTGACGTGTCGTGCTGACGTGGTCTGCTGATGTGGCCTGCTGACGTGGCAACTCACCAATGCCACCGCAGGGGGTACCTAGAGATAGGTAGAGTAGATATGACCAGAGGGGGCCACGACATAAGTGGGAAGGGGTGGGTGGGATAAATCACCCAGATAAGGAGCCACTAATCAAAAAGAAAAGTTTGAACTTTGCAAAAAATTCGAGAGAAAGAAAAAAAAAAATACTCGTTTGCAAGTTCAGTAGGCCTCCCAATTCCCCCGAAAGTGCGAAATTACCAATGAGAAAAAACATTTTGAACTTTCAGACTGCAAATGATCATCTGTTGAAAGAATTCCGAAAAAAAATAAAAAATATTCGGAATTACTCAGATGAGAGTACGCGCAGTTTGGAAAATGGTAACTGCAAGAGGGATTTCCTGTACGACCAGATAATACAGAGTAAATACAAATACAGTGGAAGACTTTTGATACATGGACTGACTCTGACCTGACTCGGACTGCTATCGAACACTCAATCATTCATCAGGGGTGTGAAAGCCCTGACCTTGGACATAGACGAAAGGCTAGGGTCTGAGATCATCCACAGACGAATGGAGGGAGGAGAGAGACGAAGGGAGGAGGAGAGGGAAGATGACGTCAACTCGATGTTTCCAAAGATAGTATCTTGAAATGTCAGAGATGGCGAAAGTCCGAAATGTCACGAATACAATGTTCCACAATGTCTCAGATATCGATCTCACAATGTCAAGTACATCTCCAGAGGCAGATGAAATCAGATCCCACAAGTAGTCCTCAACCTATAGTCCCAATGTCGCTGTCTCCAGTGTCATCAGAATTCGTAACCATCTTTCATACCTATAGTAGTCCTGTAGGAGAACCCAGAAGTAGACTAGACGGAGAAGGTAGGGGGGGAGAGAGAGAGAGAGGGAGAGCAGGGGGCGGAGGAACAGAGGGAGAGAAGGCAGAGCCTTCCTCCCCGGTACCTGATCCGGTAGCTATGGCGCGGCAGGGCCGGTGCGCTGTTTCCTTCTCGCCGCTGCGCTCGCCTTCTCCTTGCTGCTCGGACTAACGCTGCTTGCGCTGCGCTAATGCTGCTAACGCTGCAACGCTGCGCTAATCCGGAAGACTAACGCCCTAACTTACTACTAACCTCTAACCTCCCTACTGAGGCTGGTACCCAACTTTTGTAGTGTTGGGCTGGCCTCCTACCTGCTGGTACCTACCGGCCTGGACCATTGATCTGATCAACGGTCCAGCTTCAAACTGGACCTGGCGCCTAAACACGGCAGCCTCTGCAACTGCGCTGCCGGTAGGTCCTATACTGGACTGGTAACGACCTTGTGGCCATTGCCCTGGGCCTCTACCCCTGGCCTGTCTGAACCGCCGTGGTCCTGGCCTATCTGGGCCTCATCTGAACCGTCTTCCCCTTAGGCCTACCCTGCCTATCTGGAACCGGGCCCTAACTGGGGCCCGTGTGGCTCAGAATGCCACACACTCCCCCCCTTGAAGACTGAGCTAGCTGCAAGGGCGAAGCTGTCTGTCCGATGTCCGTACGGGGCGAGCAGTTTGGGCAGCTTCCTTAGCAAGTCACTGTTTTTCGTAATGTGCGAAGATGAGGGGTGTTGTCGCCTTCAGGTCAGCTCGTGAAATCCAGCGTGTGTCGTCACGATCGCATTGCTTAAATGTAACTTTGTACTGCATTGGCTTGTTGCCATGCTTGCGATGCGTGAGAACGGGGTCGACCTCCTGGTGACATCCATTACAGGAGGGTCGTGTGACCGTCTGCGCGGGAAGTCTGCTGCGGAGGCTGGAGTGTAGACCGCCAGCTTTGAAGCGTGAAATATCGGGTGGACCGTCAAATGCAGGGGAATCTCGATAATGAAAGATGGACCCGGGGGGTCGTCGCCAGCTGCTGAAGTGACCTTCCATGGTCCAAACCACTTAGGGAGGAGCTTGCGCAAGACGTGCTGCTCGAGCACAAATTCCTCGGAGGTGACCCAAACCAGGTCACCAGCGCGGATTGGACATGGCATGCGACGACGGTTTGCTTGCTGCTGCATACGGACCTGAGCCTTTTGCATGTTTGCGCGGGCTTTGGCCAGCAGTTCCCTGTACTTCCGTGTCGAAGCGGGGGAGCAAGCGGTGTCGATATCGGCAGCCCATGGGAGAAAAATGTCTGTGAAGATACGTCCTTTCCGTCCACCGTGATGCAACTCGAATGGAGTCACACCAATCGCCAGGTGCACCGAAGTGTTGTAGGCGAACTCGATGTCGGGAAGGCGGTCAACCCAGTCCTTATGATCCGGGCGGATGAGTGTGCGGAGCATCATCTGCGCAGTCTGGTGCGCACGTTCCGTTTGCCCATAGGTTTGAGGATGCCGTGCGGAACTCGGTTTCATGTTGGTGCCGGATTCCACCATGAGTGTCGTCCAAAAGGCTGACATGAAACGAGTGTCGCGGTCGCTGACGATGTCTTCCGGAACGCCGTGGCTGCAAAACCAGCCAGTATGCAAAAGTCGTGCAAGCTCGGGAGTCGTCGCATGATACTTGCATGGAAAAAATCAAGCGTACTTGCTCAAACGGTCAACGACCGTGAGAATACCATCATGGCCAAGGTGATCGCGAAGGAACGGACCGGTCACATCCATAGCAATGGGAAGACCTGGTTCCCGAGGAATCGACAATGGTTTCAGTTCGCCGTACGGGAGCTGATAGCGCCCGTTGTTCCGGTGGCAAATTCCACATGACTGAATGTACCGGTTGACGTCGTTGATGATGTCCGACCAGTGAAATCGTTGGCGGAGTCGTGCAAGTGTGCGTGCGACGCCAAGGTGTCCCGCCAACCGCGAATCGTGRTATTCGCCAAGGAGGCGAGTGCGCAAGATGCGGTCTTGGGGAACACACAACAAGTCCTTACCTCGTGTATGGAGAAGCAAGTAGCCGTCGACAATGCGATAATTGCTTGCCGGCGGTTGATTCGATGATAAGTCCGCGTAGAGTGTGGAGAATCCCGGATCCGACTTGTAGCCGTTTATAAAATGTTGTTGCAGGTTCTCGTCGAGGCCGAATGTGGAGTGCACCAAGGCGCAAAGATCTGGTCAATGAAGTATATCCATCGATCGATCGTGCTGCTCACCGTGTCTTGCGTCTTGTAATACGTCAACGGATTGTTGTCCGTTGCCCATGTGAATTGCGGACGCCCGAGGAGAAAGTGACGCCAACGCTTAAGTACGGTGACAAAAGCTAGCAGTTCCTTTTTCCTCGCATCATCAAGTGAATTCATGGGCGGCACCTTTTGGCTGAAATACTCAACATGATACCAGTCTATGCCGTCATGCTGTTCCAAAACCGCGCCACTGCCGTGAATGGATTCATCCGTAGTCACTCTGGTAGGCAAGGTAGGGTCGTAGATGCTTAAGACGGGAGCTTGGAGCAAAGCCGTCTTCAGCGTATGGAACGCGTGCCGGGCTTCGTCGTTGAACTCGAAGGGCACCAAGGGGGACTGAAGTTGCGACAATGGTGCAGCGATCCGTTGACAACTTTTGAGGAAGCGCATGTAGTATGATGCTAATCCCAGAAAGGAGCGGATGCCAGTAGTACACTTGAGGTCCGGCCAATCTTGAATGGCTTGTACTTTGTCCGCAAGCGGACGAATGCCTTGCGGCGTTACGTAATGGCCTAAGTACTCCAGCTCTTGCTAGGCAAACTCGCACTTGTCGTGGTTCGCCTTGTACTTGGCGGTACGAAGCCGCTCTAAAACGGCGCGAAGGTGCTCGAGGTGCTCGTCTAGCGTCCGGCTATAGACCAAGATATCATCAAGGTACATGAGTACGGTGCGGTATTAAGTTGCGGAATTCCGTCATCATAGCCGCTTGGAAAGTAGCCGGGGCATTGGTGATACCGAAAGGCATGACGATCCACTCAAAGTGTCCATACCGCGTCTTGAATGCGGTCTTGTGCCGATCTCTTGGTTGGATCTCGATCTGGTGATATCTGGACTTAAGGTCGAGCTTCGAGAAGTACTTGGCGCCGCCTAGTCGCTCGAGAAGGTCATCGATCCGAGGGAGAGGGTCGGCGTTCTTGATCGTTTGCGCGTTAAGTTATCAATAGTCGATGCACAAACGAAGGTCCTTGTTCTTCTTCCGGACGAAGAGAACGGGAGCACCGTATGGCGAACAGCTAGGGCGAATCCAGCCCTTGGCCAAGAGGTCGTCTAGTTGTGCCCGAAGCACTTGAAGCTCCTCTTCGCTCATGCGGTAGATACATCCGTGCGGAGGTACGGCGCCATCCTCGAGAGTGATCCCATGGCGTATGGGCCGATCCGGTATGACTCCGGCGGGAGCTTGGAACACATCCTCATAGCTGTCCAACAGCTCAATGATGCGTGGGTCCGACGTATCCGTCTTGGGCTGATCACCGGGTGGGAGGTCGTGAAGAAAACATATGCCCATCTCCACGGAAGCGGCACCGTACACAGGGCTAATTCGCCACGCCGGTCACGAACGTGAACGGTGCGTCGATAGAAGTTCACCGGATGGTCTTCGCTTTGCAGCCACGACATGCGTAAGATCATATCGAACTTAGTGTCCAATATGTCGAATGATACGGCCTCGCATGCTAGCGGGGCAAAGTACACGGGCACCGAGTCAACGCATCGGTCGATTGACTTTTGCATGTGACCATCGGCCAACGTGACATGCGTAGGCTGACTTTTCCTTCGAACGCGCGGGCCAAGCCCGACGCGTGCCATGAAGTCTTGGCTGATGTAGTTGCGAGACACTCCACAATCGATCAAGGCACTACAGGTCGCCTTTCCGATCTGAATGCGGATGTAGAGGAGCGGCGCGTCGATGTCGACGTACCGTTGCTTTGCGTGCTCGCGGTCGATCTTCACAAGAAGGTCAACAACCGCTACTCCGCCGTCCGTTGACGGAGGTGGTACTGCAACCTGTAAGTATTCGTGCAAATGTGCCATTAAGGCATTGCAATGCGGAGTTGGCAAGGAACCGGTGGAGGGAAGAGGCAACCATTGGAAGTCCTCAACCGTCAACGGGTCGAGTTCCTCAAGACTTGCCCAAGTTGACGGATCCTCCGGTAGAAGGGCTGGCGAAGCAACCGGTTCGTTGTCTGACGGCGGACTACCTCGCATGCGCTTGAATCTTGCACGTGAAGAGGCTGGTTCAACAGTGGGACCAGCTCGACAACATTGTTCTCATAATCGATGCGAGAACTTGCGACTACCGCGTCATCCACGGATGTGAGAGAGACTGCTAGCAAGCCAGCTGACTCCAGCGGATTGGGAAGTGATGTCGCTGCACTTCCCGCGGTGCTCAGTTTCCTGAGCTTTGACGTTTGACATTTTCCTTGTCCTTGTCGAGGCATGCGCTGGTGATGTGTTTGGTGCTGTTGCACCAAAAACAACATTCCCATTTTTGTCGCAACTTGAACATGTCTTCGGTAATGCCGAACTTTGTCCATGGTGCCTGTCGTGCTCCATCCGCCGATGCTGGTTTCGCCTTTTGTTTTCCCCCTCGGGGTCTTGAGCGATGTTGTGGTATCGCTGCCGCCACATCTCCGTCACTTGATGTAGACACGGCTGCGTGGTCCTCACTAGGTCCTTGCTGGACTACTGCTAGTTGCGGCGTCCGTTGACCTTTGCCTTTCTCCACGTAACCGGGCTGTTGGCGGGCCTCGTTGGCCTTATATGAGCTCCCTTGCCTTTGAGATCATGTCATCAAAGATCTCATACTGGAATTCGCTGTCGAGAGCAGCTGTCAAGGCGTCCTATGACCGAGCGAAGAATTCGGCCCGGATTGCGTCGAACGGTAAGTTCAACTCCGGGGTGGCAACAAGTCTTTGCCACTCCGTCATCCACTCCCATGAAGGTTGTTGGCCTTGAAACATGCGGAAGATCTTGTTCAAGGCGTGACGCTTGTCATTGTTGACCATGAACCGGGTCTTCCATTTCTTCTCGAATTCCTCCCATGTGATCTTGGTGTGGAAGGTGGCGATGGTACATTCCAATGTGACCGCCATGTGCGTCATGAAGGCCTGCGCCCCTCCAATGAGTTGGAGGTAGAGGGCGTCAAGCCGCCACAGTGGTGGAGTGTGATGCACGTCCGCCTTTGCGTTGAATGCCATCCACCATTGCAGCGGATCAGTCTTGTGGTAGTTGTCGAACTTCTCGATCTTGAAGTTCGGCATTTTCCATTCCTTGGCGACGACGGCCGCTCGTTGCTGAACGTGGTCGCTGAGCGTCTGCAGCTGATTGCTGACTGTCGACGCTCCAGCAAACTTGCTGATGTCACCGAGGGATGTGACCACGTGGTTGATCCGCTCCTCGAGTTGCTTGGCCTGTGCGGCCAAGGCTGGGTTGCAGTCTGCCACTACGCTGCCCGTCGACGCAACTGCCGACGGTCGTGCCAACCTCGTGCTGACATCGGACTGCAGCTGGTCGTTGATTGTCTGTTGCTGACTGTTGGCGGCCTGTAGTGTGCTGATCTCGGCCTGCAGGGTAGCGATCTTATTGTCCATTGCTTTAAACGTTGTCTCGTGGCGGATGAAGACCTGCCGCAATGCCAACAGTTCACGTTGCTGCCAATTGCACGTTGTCGGGACTGGTGGGTCCCGAATAACTTCCCATCACTCGAGAGACTGAATATAACCAGATTGTGCACGGCAGAGAAATCTGGAGCAAGGAGGAAAGAGAGAGAAAAGACAAAGGATTAGGCCGCAGGAGGGAGTGATGCCCTGGGGTGAGAACCGCAGGAAGAAAGAACCAGTGAGGGCAAGCAAGTAAGCGCAAGGACAGGGACGCATAGAACATAGCATGAGGCCAGGAGGGCCGTTGGAATTCAACAAGACTAAGGCCAAGGGGCCCTTGAACCAGCGAACGCGGCACGGCAGCGACGAGAGAATGAGGGAGCCAAGAGATGGACGGCCCCGAAGGCCGTGTGAAGCTAGAGAATAAGGGCCCAACATGGGGACCACCTACGGGAGCCTCAGGGTGGAGGCCCCACGACCAAAGGAATCGGCGCGCGCAAGGCGCAGGAAAGGCAAGGGAGAGGGGTTACCGTGGGGGGGCAAAACGCCCAAGGAACGTGGGACACCTTGGGGAAAGGCACCCGGGGCCACATGGGACTAAGTAAAAATAATGGCATCCGGGGCAAAATGTGCCGAGGACCACCAGCGGGATTAACTACCGGGGACCACCGATGGGACCAAGTGCAGGGGACCGCCGGCGGGACTAAGTGTCGGGGACCACCGACGGGACGAGTGGCGGGGACCACCGACGGGACGAGTGGCGGGGACATATGAAGGTCCCAAGAGGAAACGGCGGCACCGCATAAGGGAAAAATAATTAAGACAAGGTGCACAGTCAAGATCGAGATCTTGACGGCCGAGAATATTAGCACCACTAGTAGTGGTAGCAAACGGGAAGGCCAAAAGGAAAAAAGAAAGTAAAGAAACTTGAAGAGGGAGGCATGGGAGCAATCCGAAAAATCTCGGACCAGCCTCCCTCAAGAAAATGGAGTAAAAAGAGACCCCATGAGAGAAATAGGCCTCCGGTAGAAAATCGGAGCAAGAGGGGCCACTGTGGGAGGAAAATAGAGGGAAAAGAGAGCTCTCATGGGCATGGGAAGGCCACTATTGCAGTCCGAGATATAATGGACTGCACCTTGGGCATAGGAAGGGCCAAAACTAAGAGGAAGGGGCTAGAAAAGGGCCTTAACGGCCACTTGACACTTGACATGCTAGGAAAAAGAAAGAAAAGAAAAGAAAATGTTGGAGAATGAGACGAAAAGAGTGAGAGGGAGTGAGTGAGTTGGCCGTCAGTAAGGACTGCCACAAGTAGGGACTGGCAGGTCCCTTTTGTCAAAGAAAGGAGGAAAAAGAAAAAAAAAGAAAAGCGAAAATAAAAGAAAAGAGAAAAAGGCCTTATCGGTAAAAAACGGTCACTTGGGGAGATACATTCATGACCAGATTCATTCTGGAATATGGCGGTTGCAATGGACCTTGATTTTCTTTGATTTTTGTAGAGAAAATCAAAGGAAATCAAAGCCTCATGCAACCGAAAAATAGTGGATTACATGGGGGAGGAGAAACACATGTTTTTGGTGCATCCGGAGCCAAAATTGAGTCCGGATGCACTTGGGAGTTTGCCGTTTTTTTTTTCTTTCAAGTAAGGGCTAGATGTGGGGCATTGGGGCTAGGGAGTTGACCCCTATTCCAGTCCGAGTTGCAACGAACTGCATGGGCATCCGGAACCAATATTGAGCCCGGATGCACTTAGAAATTAAACGCTTCATTTTTTGTTAGCATGGGGCAAGTTCTGGGGTTGTGGGACTAGGAAAATGGTCATGACTGCAGTCCGAGAAATAACGGACTGCATGGGGGTGCCTAGGCTAAGGGAAAATGAGCCTCGGCAAGCCCGAAAGGCTAGAAAGGAGCAATTTCGGCATGAGGCAAGTGGAGACGGTAAACGGCAACCGTGAGATGAGATCTTACGGCCTCGAAAAATCGGCACACATGTGGCACCTAAGGGAGAGACGTTGGGACCACCAAGGGCAAGGAGGTCCGAAAATAAAAATGGGACACCAACCGGGATGTTATCGGGGACCAAGTGGGCCCAAATAATAAAAGTCGAAAAATGGGACACGCGCCGTTGGGACTACCGGCGGGACAAGAAAATGGAACTAGTATGGAGGAAAGTGGCGGGGACTTGAGATGTCCCAAGGGAACCATGGGCCAACACAAGAAATAATTGCGCAAGCGAACGGCACCGTCGAGATCGAGGATCTAGACGGTGGAAAATATTAGCACCACTAATGCAAGCACTAGTGGGGGCAAGTGGGAGAGTCGTGAGAGAAAAGATAATGAAATAATGGTGTTGGGAGGGCTGCCCAGCAGTCCGAGATATCTCGGACTAGCTAGGCATAAGAAAATAGAGCCTCAAGAGACTCAATATGGGAAAAAGGTTGTCCTTAGAAAATCGGAGCAAAAGGGGCTCAAAATTGGACAAACGGAGGCAAAATGGAGCCCCTAGGAGTATGGGGGGGTGCCATTGTTGAAATCCGAGATATAACGGCCAAGTGCCAGCCATGAATCTGGCCATGAATGAGGCTCCAAGGCCTAGAAAGAGAGTGTACAGTTAGTGGACACTTGTCACAACAAAAATAAAAGAAAAAGAAAGAAAAATGAGAGAAAATGCGGGGAGAATGAGACAAAAAGGGAGAAAAGAGTGGAGGAGAGTGTGTCGGCCTATTGGGACCTGCACAGTAGGGACTGCCAGGTCCCAACTGTGAGCTCATCCCTCCTAGAATGAGGGAGGGCAATCCGGTGTCGAGCGCATGGTCCGGCACCACTCAAGGGCAGCGCGGGACCCTCCCGGCCGCGTCACACAGGAGTTGGTTTAAATCCTTTGTCGCGAATATACATGGAGCTTCCACAAGCCGCTCCGGCCGAGTGCGCCAGCCATACCTCTCGCGAGCCCCAACGACAGGATAGGGCCTACGCGAGGCACGACTTACCTCCACCTTACGGGAGCTGTCACCTCCCTTCGGTGGGCGTATCCCTGCCGAGCTGCTTGTCCACAGTACGAAAGCTGATCAGTTGCAATTGCTGAGGTGGACCAGCCGATGACGTTTCTCGTTCGTTGTAGCATAGGCGGTACGTGAGGTAATACGCCTCTATCGGACCCGCACGTGAATCGGCATCTTGGGGGGTTGAGGTCCCAAGCGCGACTCGACGCCAGTCGACTAGGACGCATCCCACACGCCACGCGCACACCACTATAAAGAACGTAAAAATAAACACACACACACACACACACACACGTACATATACATAAACAGAACGACACTGAACAAACAACGCGACAACACTCCTAGTCCCTTAGTAGCCATCCCATAACTTTCCGATGCGAAAATCGGATAGGCGACGCGCGCGAGATTTAGTATAAAATTGCGCGGATGTAGGGCTAACTCATATCGACTGGCAATGCAACCATGTGCAAGCAGTCGCAATGATGGCGTACTATGTAGTACCCATACTCATACGGTCCTCTTTAATCTCGAGGGTCGCATTCGACACTCAAGTGTCGGCTGACACGCGCCTTGAGGAATTGATCTCTCGACGCTGGACAACCGCCAAGTGCGGTTGAAATCCACACCCTCTTCTGCACCCTGCGGAGAGTGGGTGGTACACAGGTTCATACCTGTGGTGGCAATTGTCTCTTATTGCCCTGGATACCAACTCCATCATCCAGGGTTAGGAAAGAGGTCAAGGGGTTTGACTTTGACGGCTGCCACGGACTACATGTCCAACTATCAAAATTAACAAGCAAAATCACCTGATAAATAAATAAATATCCCAACTCTCATATATCAAATCAGGACTCGAGACAACAACAAAAGAAGGGGAAACATACACCCATCAGATATGCATATCGTGCGTCACATGGTTATCATTCTCACTGCCTTCAAGGTGTGGCCCATATACCAAGCTCCAAAATACTAACCTGCATAAAACACAGGCACGCACAATAGCCACATTGCCATACACGAATGTGGTCAACTTTACTTTTCCCTGTAACTCACACCACGCCTCACACACTCAGGCTCCAGTCATAGTTCATTTTTTCATAAATCTCATAAGTTCTTTATAATGGCCATTTAAAAGAAGTCCGATTAAAACCCTCAAAGAAACATATCAAATCTCAGGGCTAAGGCAATCAAGCAGAGGTACAGGTGTAAGCAAAGTTGTGTCGTCGGCCGACGAGTCGGCGATCAACCAAGCGACCTGTTATCAATGATAACAGAATATGATCCTCGTAGGATCAAGCTGAATCTAGTCCAATCTTGGATCGAATGTCCAAAGAAGACCTGTATCATAAGACAGGTCAATGCCCAAGCTAAATCATCAGTGTATGGAAAACAAAACCCCATGACACATTCTCACTCAAGACTCTCCTGATAACCAAGCCTAGGTCTATCTCTAAGCCACTGCCCAAAGAAAGGTAGACCTATGACAGAATCTCCCCCATACAGAGTGGATTGCCAGAGTCGCCACCTGTCAAAATATAATCTATTTCCTCTAAACTAAGAAAATTTCGGCAGCGCTTCCCGTAAAGAAAGTAGCTTACCAAAATTTATACGAAGCCAAGTTCAGAATCTAAAGATGACTTTGACTTCCCAAGGTCCAATTTTATCTAACTCCCTGAATTAGCAAAAATTTGGGCAACACTCCCTTTAGAAAAGGAGACTCTCTAGATTTTTACTAAGTCACATATAAAAGTTGGACAAATTGAACTTTGAAAAAACAAAATCTGACTAACTCCTTGGTTTTGTAGAAATTTCGGCAGCGCTTCCCGTAGAGAAAGTGGCTTACCAAGATTTATACATGACCACGTATAATAAGAGATCCCAGAAAATGCAGAAATTGACCTAAGTAAAAGAAACTTAGCTCAGAAAATGCAGGAATTGAAACTAACTCCTATGACTCTAACACGTGGCGAGCAACTAAAGCAACTACCTATCAATTGAAACTTAGACTAAGTAGTAATCTCACTCAGCCACATGCAAGCCAAACCACAAAGGTAAGTACTCTCACCAGCCCTAAGTTATTTCACATAAGATAGCTCATGAATCTTAAAGTAATTCAACCCTTATACCAAACTCACATATGGCATAACGCTAGACCATTCGGCTTGGAAACAATGTCTAACATGCCTTTAGGATATACACGAACAAGTTGCACTACTACTTCTCTCTTCTTTGGGCATATGACTTGACCATTCTAGTCGCCCTGGAGTGTTTAATGTAAAACTTTACTAACTTTCTGACTTTGTTCTCAAAAGAAATAAAAATATGGGCAAGGGACTGAACCATTCGGCTTGGAAACAATGTTCAGCTTGCCTAGATTACTTCCAATTATACTCTGTATTTTCTCTTCTCTTCTTAGTGATATGGCTTAGCGCTGGACCATTCGGCTTGGAAACAATGCCCAACTGCGAGTTCACATGCAAATATAAGTAAAATGCTTTCTTCTATACTCAGGTTGTACTTATGTGAGTGGTTTTCAGGCTAAGCCATTCAGCTTAGAAACAATGCTCAGCCTTAGACCAAAATCCTCCCCAGAACAAAACAAGAAAACCCTTCACATCAGACAACCCTCGGAAAATAAACATAGCAACCAGGACATTCAGCTTAGAAACAATGCCTGGCCCTTCAGAAAACAGCCAAATAAACACAGCCCTGGGCCATTCAGCTTAGAAACAATGCCCAGTCTTTGGTTGACCCAGTCAAACACATGCAGTCTGCCTTCCTCCCACCTTCCCCCTGTTCACCCCTTAGTCTGCTTTCAGCCAAAAATAAAGATGAAACTTAAACTTCACACATACACTTTTTCCGTTCAATTTGATTTATCCTGAACAAAAAGCAAGAATTATAGGGGAAACACATGCATACAACCAGTCAAATTAAAGGGAGATAAGCAAACATGGGTATAGTGGGTTACACAGACAGAGGAATGTATACCTGATAGTTCCCTGCCTCCAGAACCTCTCCTAGGTTCCGGCAGAGCTCCCGCAATCGGTGGGCGGACTCCCCACAGAGTCTCGCTGCGGTCCTACGGGTTGCAATCCCGCCTGCCGCCTTCCTCTCAGAACAGGATTAAACTGAGCGTAAGAGGGGCAGAATGAGGGGCTCCAGACTCTCGAGATACAGGAGGGGGACAAACTCAACTCCCAGCACAGGGCCTTGTTACCTTCATCCGCCTGAGGGCCCAACAATGATGGCCAAACAGCAGCAGCTTGACCAAAACTGAAATCAAATCGCTGAAATCAACCGCCTGACGTCCCCCTAGCTCGCAGCAGTGATCTCCTTTACAAAGCTTGACTACTTCTCTGAGCCCCAACATCTCTCCTTTAGAACAGCTATCGCTACATTACACCCCGAAACGTACGTAACTTTGCGGAACCTCAACAAGACATTACACGTGTAGCCCTCACACGCAGCCACTCGATTAAAAAAGAAGCCAACCCGCCAATTGCCGATTCCCAAACGACTCCCCAAACCACAGCAAAGCCTCCTCTTTACCAACTCAGTTTCGTCTTTCTCACTCAGCAGCAGGATAGCAGCGTGGCCTTACTGGCCATGCAACAGGCAGACTGTATGTGCAGTACTTACCAAACCTCTGCTAACTCCCTGCACACAGTCGGGCCCCGCTACTCCGTACTGCAAGGTGAGCGGTACTCCTCAAACAGACAGGCCGTTCGGGCCGCGCTACTCGCTTCCCTGTTCTCTCGATCGCGAGGGTGAGCGGCTCACCGACCAATAGACAAGTCTCTTCCCGTCCCTACTTCGCCAGCATGCTTGCTGTAGAGGGGAAAAAGGAAAACGCCGCCGGATGTACTTCTTAAGGCGAGCTAACACACTGGCTAACAGGTAAGTCCCCACCTGGGCGGCTGACTTCATGCTGCCCGTTGTAGCACCCGTCCTACTGCAAGCATAACTCAACCAGGTAAGTGATGTCTCTTTCTCTCTCTCTCTCCGCGAACTGCAATCGTTGCGCCCGCTGCTTGGGACCTGATCGCCCGTTCCGAGCTCAAACTTAACGATTCCTCCGCTAGAATATGGACGGATACACCACGTTTCCAGCCATGCGCTCAGAGAGATTGAGAGAGGCTACTCCGTCGTCAGGATGAGCAACGTTCCGACCAACAGGCAAGCCCCCAAGCCTACAACTCCCTTGCTTGCTACTTCGTTTTGGTGGACTGAGTGGTGCTCCGACCAACTGCTCCGATCAGTGGGGTGAGCGCCTCACCGGTCTGCAGGCAAGTCGATCTTCCGACGACTCGCTTCTCGGTTTAATCCCGCATTGTTGCCTCGGCCCGCCGGGTAAGCAACTGCAGGATCCTGAAGACGGGTATGTTGAGCAGTGCCGCTGCCCAACGCAAGGAGCCAGGCACGAGCAACAGCGAGGAGCACGAACTAGAGTTTAGAGACGAGGGGCAGAACGATCGCAAGCAGCCGCATTACCATCACTTACCCATTACGCAGTTTGAAACGAATCTCCCCTTCAGCTATGGTCAGGTACGCGTGCTTTTCCCCACAGTTACCGACTACTCCCGACTCGCCCGATCTGAGCTAAAGCAAGAAGAACGAGGTTGAGAGTAGGCCTGCCCCCAAGTACGGGCAGAGGTATCGAAAAGAAATCCGGATCGGAGTATGGAGTAAAGAGTTGGCAGAGGCAACCATCTCGCACACTCCTAACAAGAGGAACAGAAACGGATGAATCTCCCGCTAAAACGATGAAATATGCATGCACGATTTTACTACTTCTCTGCTTGCTTCCCACACAACTACTAATACTTATTCCTTCTCAACTAACACCCTAACGCAAAAACTAACATCGGTATCGTGCTTGACACGCCCGAAAACTCTTAGTTAAGATCTCTTCGTACTCGTTTTCACTAAGTAATGGGCGAGATCTCCGATTTTGAAATTTTCTCTATCGCTTCTCCCCTGTCACCACCGCGCACGAGTTTCTCTCACACCGACTAACTTACTAACTCCCTATCAAAACTAACATCACATTCTATTTCGCCCTCCCCCAAAACCATGGGTTCGACTCCTCCCTCGCTCGATTCCGTAAGGAAACGAGCGAAATATACGTTTTCCCCTTTTTTCATCCGCCATCTCCGCCATCTTCGCGCACTATCTTTTCTTCCTACCACTTATTCTAGTAACTCTCTCCTACAACTAACCTCATAATCGAGCTCGCCCGGGGTCAAAACCCCCGGATTGTCTCTTTCCCTTCCCGAATTTGCCTCCAATCGGTCGCGCTCCTACCTTTCTGCTGCGCCCGAACTCTTAACCCGCCATCTCCACTTCTCTTTGCCTATGAATGCACCTGGCGCGAGAAGGCGCCCAGGTACCTCTTCTTTCTAGCTGCCTGTGCCCACTGCTTCGCCTGGCCTGCCTAGCCCCTGCCCCCTTGCTGCTAACACAGTGCCCATCCGATAGTCGCTCCGCAGTGGTCTGCCCGTCAGCCCTCTCCCGCGCTAGTGTCGTTGGTCGTCCCCGAGTGGCACTGAGCAACGACCGCCTTCGAGTCGGTGCTGATAGGGGAGGGGACCTGAGGGAGGTACAGTGGCTGCCCATCGAAGAAGCCCGACCCTGATGCTACCGGTCGGCACGTGGCCCGTATCTCCCAGCGGCTGCAACAGTTATCGCACCGGCTGATGGGTGCAGCTCCCGCATGTTCCCTCATTGAGGCTCGAACATGGATGTGGCTGCTACGGGGCTCCCCATAATGCTATAAAGGGCTAACCTCGGCGCAACCACGAAAACAGGTTGTAATCGCACTTCAGGCAATCTCGCGAATACAACACACCCCCAAACGACCTCATCGGACCCGAAACATCGTTTATATACGTTCAATATTACCGACCCTTTTACCTTAAGTGTAATTGCGAACTCAAAACCTGACTGCGCCCTGTTCTCAACAACGGCGCGGTAGAGAACTTTCGCCGGCATCCTGAACACGCGGACCCTCCAAACGAGGCGCACACTCAAGGTCCTCGACTGCCGTGACGACCATTAAATTCGGCGTCACGTCCGAATTAACAAAGACGCCGGAGCCTACAGATAAAAACAATACAACAATAAATAATATAAAATATAAATAAACGTCGCGCGTCCCACTGGCCCGTGACGCCGCGCACGCTCAGGCAGCGCATGGTGGCGCCTCGCCGTCAATACCCTACGCGCGCCACTCACCCTAACGAGGACCTAAGCTTCCTCCCGCGCGCGCGCCACTCACCCTAAAGAGGCAATCCGAGTTGGTAACAACCACTCGGACTGCATGTACTTGGCCAAAAAGAGGCCCGGGTACCTCCGGAAGGGCCTCGTGGGGGAATTGTGCCTTAAGGGTACCGCGGTTCACCTCAAGGCACATGGGGAGGCCCATGGGCTGGCCGGACTGCTGGTTTCAGCCTACATAAGCTGGGAATTCAGTCCGCCACATTCACAATTGCATGAGTGCCCATGCGGCCCAAGTGAGCGCATAGGAGCACTCTTTCACTTGGAGAGAGGAGAGGGGAACCCATGCCAGTTTGGGAGCTTGGTGGAGGCCATGAGCTAGGGAGAGGAGCTCTAGAGGCTAGTGGTAGTGAGGCTGGCACTCGGGAGGCGATCCGCTATAGCCCCCTGGGTGTGAGAAAGACTGGCTAGAGGGAGTCTCATTAGCCCTCCTAGAGAGGCTTGAGGAAGAAAAAAGCCTTAGCCAAGGAGGTAGTTGTGCAAGGAGGAGGAAGATTCATCAAGGTTGAGGCTCCATCTCCAAGGCATCAAGAAGGTGAGTGGAAAAAATGAGATTCTTCTCCATCTTTTTCTTCTTCTTCTTCCTCCTCCTCTTCACTCTTTCTTCCTTCCCTTCTTCATCTTCTTCATCTTCTTTTTCTTCTTCTTCTTCTTTTTCTTCTCTACTTCTTCTTCTTCTTCCTCCTCTTGTCCTCCTTCTTTTCCCCTTTCTCCTTCCTATTGGTCTAATGTAGACCTTGCTTTTCACTCACATGCTAGTAGGAGATGCTCCGATTCTTCCATGGATGATCTCTTGCTCAATGCTTGTGATTTAGTCTAGTGTAACTCTTGCTTTTCACTCACATGCCAGTAGGAGATGCTCCGATTCTTCCATGAATGATCTCATGCTCAATACTTGTGATTTAGTCTAGTGTAACTCTTGCTTTTCACTCACATGCTAGTAGGAGACGCTCCGATTCTTCCATGGATGAGCTCTTGCTCAAATCTTGTGATTTAGTCCGGTGTAACTCTTGCTTTTCACTCACATGCTAGTAGGAGATGCTCCGATTCTTCCATGAATTATCTCATGCTCAATACTTGTGATTTAGTCTAGTGTAACTCTTGGTTTTCACCCACATGCTAGTAGGAATTGCTCTGATTCTTCCATGAATGATCTCTTGCTCAAATCTTGTGATATAGCCGAGTGTAACTCTTGCTTTTCTCTCACATGCTGGTAGGAGATGCTCCGATTCTTCTATGAATGATCTCTTGCTCAATACTTGTGATTTGGTCTAGTGTAGATCTTGCTTTTCACTCACATGCTAGTAGGAGATGCTCCGATTCTTCCATGAATGATCTCTTGCTCAAATCTTGTGATCTAGTCTAGTGTAACTCTTGCTTTTCACTCACATACTGGTACGAGATGCTTTGATTCTTCTATGGATGACCTCGTGCTCAATATTTGTGATTTGGTCTAGTGTAGATCTTGCTTTTCACTCACATGCTAGTAGGAGATGCTCCGATTCTTCCATGGATGATCTCTTGCTCAATACTTGTGATTCATTAGTGTAACTCTTGCTTTTCACTCACATGCTTGTACGAGATGCTCTGATTCTTCCATGGATGATCTCTTGCTCAAATCTTGTGATTTGGTATATTGTAGATCTTGCTTTTCACTCACATGCTAGTAGGAGATGCTCCGATTCTTCCGTGGATGATCTCTTGCTCAAATCGACTTCCCAGACCTTGGGGAGGACACAGGGCATGATGGGGCCAGTGAGACTTCGGATGGGGGAGTCACGGCGCCTATCAAAGAAAAGGCTAGGGGGACCGGGAAGAAGAAGGTAGTACGGTCCACGGGTCAGGGCGACCAAGGAACACCCGCCTGGGTAAAACTTGGTTTAGAGTATGAGGTGTGGAGAGACCGAGTTGCTAGGGGCACGTGCATGAACTATGGCAACTATGGCCACACGTCTCGAACGTGTTGAGGCAAGAGAGTCCTGACGAGGGTAGCCTCACCAACGGTGGTGGAACTATATTCGAACTCTGGCGGTGCTTTTGCGAGCACTTCGCAAGGAAACACCTCGGGCCAGTAGGAGTTTTCGCCGCTCTTACTCGCGCTGAAGTGGTAACGTTGCCTTCCCCACTTCAGGCGTTGGCCAAGGCTAGTGACTCACGTATCGCCCCGCAGACACATTCAGACCCACCGACGCTCTGTTCGAGAGATGTGTGTGAGGCCCTAGAAGAGTTAGAGACTGAGTGGTCAGGGAAGGACCCTAGGGATTCTTGGGCGATGATTAGTAGAGGTCCAATGGGTGAACATTTCGTGGTAGAGGTTGATGTAGGTGGCCGCAAGGTTGGCGCCTTCTCGAACATAGGCTCTACATGGAACTTCATCAGTCGTGCTTGTGTGGATAGACTGCGCTTAGGGGACCAAGTGCAGCGGCTTAGCAGAATTGTAGCTTCTACGCTGGCCAACAAGCACCAAATGTTGGTAAAAGACTATGTCAAGGACGTAGTCTGTGCCTTCTCCTATGGAGGAGGGGAAGTGAGCCAGAAAATCTCCTTCCTGGTTAGCGACGAGCTGCCCTTTGATATGCTCTTAGGCATGTACTACCTCGAGGTCGCTCAACCCCGGTTTGACTGGGTTAGAAAGGTGTTGATCCACAAATTGCCCAATGGTAGAACTGTTAGATTGCAGAAGTACAACGCCAGCAGTCTAATAGAAAACTACGGGTGCATGTGTGCATCATCTTTCTATAACTATTATAAGCAGAATCGTGAGGAGGGCATGTACTTAGTCTTTGTCTCTGAAAAAGGGGAGGCCGTAAAAACACCCCCAGAGATAGAATCAGTCGTCGCTCAGTATTCAGACCTTTTTGAGGAGCCCACAAGCGTGGTAGAAAGGGAGGTTGTCCATGCAATAGAGGTTGTCCCTGGTAGTAAGGTACCTAGATGTCGAATCTATAGGATGTCTCCTGCGGAGTTAGATGAGCTCCGCTGCCAGCTCAAGGAGCTCACAGAGAAGGGATGGATTCGGCCTAGTACCTCCCCTTACGGTGCTCCAGTCCTATTCGGACCGAAGAAGGGAGGTACCTTGAGGATGTGCATTGACTATAGGGGCCTCAATGCCATCACTGTTAAGAACGCAAAGCCCCTACCCCGCATCGATGACCTCTTGGATAAAGTGCAGGGATGCCGGTACTTCACCAAGATAGATCTGAAGTCCGGATACCATCAAATTGCCATTAGACCTGAGGACCAGCACAAAACCGCATTCCAAACCAGGTACGGTCTGTACGAGTTTGTGGTGATGCCTTTTGGCCTATGCAATGCACCTGGTACATTCCAGCACGCGATGAACATGATTTTTCATGACTACTTAGACAAGTTTATCGTCATGTACCTCGACGATATTCTTATCTTTAGTAGGACTACAGAGGAGCACGCTGAGCACTTGAAAATAGTGCTAGGTCTCCTAAGGCAGCACCAGTACAAGGTTAACTTGGAGAAATGCGAGTTTGGTGGCACCAAAATCTTGTACTTGGGTCATAAAATCTCAGCAGAAGGACTGAGGCCAGATGATGCCAAGGTGGCCAGCATACGTGACTTCAGACCTCAGACTGTTACTGAGGTCAGATCGGT